ACTTTAAGAAGGTTTAATTTGTCAATACAAAAGTAAATGCTATACTTGTCTATACCTCCAGTCTAGATTCTCACTGTAAGAGTCCCTTTGCCAAAACCACCAAAAATGTAGATGAAACCTTAAACATGAGAAAGGACGCTGATTACATCTGTACCTCTACAGACACCTTACAGCTTTTCTAGTCTTACCTTCACAGCTTCATATTCAATCAAACTGCTAATATAAAAGTGGAGGATAAAATGCAGAAGCTACTAATAATAAAACCACTGGTTCTCATTCAACCGAATCCTAGTTAGACCAGACTTTAATTGTAAGTTATACTACTAGTCACACACTTCTAACGTGAGAACAGTAAAAGCTGCCAAATTTGATATACTAAAATCTAGAATGCTAAACACCACATATATGTAAGTTTGTGTAGGCACATGGAGCTCACCACCAAATTATAAAAGAGACAAAAGGAAGAACTTTACAGACTCTGCATGCGTGGTCACTTCTGACACTTTCTAGGACAGTCTGGTAGCTGGACATCCAGAAGGGCTCTCAGTCACTGTGAAAATCCTAGAAAAGTTTTTACTCATAGGCATATATGACAAAGGATTAAGCTGAGTGGCATTGGACAACTCATAAAATTGGATGTCTAGAATCATGAAAGAAAAAGTCTGCCACCAATCTCTCATTAGTCTGTGTGATAGATAATGTAATACTTTTTTTTTTTTCTTGGGTTCATTGAAATAAATTCAAGAAACTTCTGGATGGCTTTTATCAGTCCATGGCTTTTCAGAAGTTTGACATCTTATATGTCAGTCTAGTATCTAAAACCATGAAACAATCAAAATGAGAGGGCTGGATTAAAAAAAAATATCACTTTTTAGTACTTTTAGCCAGGAGTCTGAATTTCTTTAAGAGAAGGTAAGTCTGTGACAATAAGTTCCAGAACCAGGGCCATGCTGAGCAGGAAGCTCCTCAAAGGTAGCACACACAATGTGAAGTTGCCTGGAGTCAACCTTAGGAACTGCTGAGCACTGCAGTATGTCTTTATTCACGGCTGCGTGAATACTCTTCTCCCTTGGGACATGCCATCTGAAACCCTCACCTGAATGCAGACATTTCTGTCCTTTCTTTGAGGGACACTGTTTTCTTTTAAAATGTATCAGGAAATGGGGTCATGCTCCCTTTTATACAATAGCCTAATGGCTTGAACACTTGTTCAGGAAACAGGAAAAGTAGGCTCCTTTCCTTGCTCTGTCAGAGGGGATCCAAGCTCACTACTTCTCCCTCACTGGGCAATGTCCTACCCCTTAACTATAAGCTGATTTGTGGAAGAGAGCATTCTCCAGTCTTTCTGTTGAAGCTGTCCCACTCATGACTCACCAAAAAAAGTGGGAACAGAAAATGGACTCCTGCCTACTTGCCAGTCTCTAGACCTTTCCGTACTTTACATTAAAGAGTCTTTAGACCAAACACAGAAGGAGACATAATCATAGAGCACCAAAGCAATGGTTTTCAGCATCATAGTTGTTAACTTAGTCACCTGAATTCAAGTGAAGTCTCTAGATCCAGTCTAAAGTATACTGCTTTAGACAAGTCCACAAAGCCATACATAGGCTAAAACATCCAGCAAGACAAAGCTGCTTATAGAGATTGATCAATTAACTAAATTTGAAGAAAAAGTAATGAGAGGCATCAGCAAAAGTTGATCCATTGAACTCACTTCAAATACTATTCTGATAAAAGCAATAAAGCTGATTAACACATTATCTGGGAACTCAGAGATGTGCTGGCAAATGTTTTCTGAAATCTATACTGACAAGAAAGTTAATCTCCCAGAAACAGCTCAGTGATCATACCCAATCCTATGGAATTTATTATAATTTAATGAACCAAAAACCTCTGAGGGAAAAAATGGGAACAAAGAGTACAGATGATTTCAAAACAAAATCACATTTTCAAAGAAGACAAAGGAATCTTGCTGGATTAAATATTCAAATCAAGTAAAAATCTACACAGTGGTAAGGCCAGAAAGCTTGGATTATTTACACAGTTCCCAGCCAAATCCTCCTTAGGTACTACAGAACACAGTCCCAACATTTGCGTACCTGCATGTGAAGCCAAGTGTGTATCCCCACTGCTTTGCTGACTGCAATACAAAAAAAACCTAAAAGATGGCTTTAGGGTTGAGGGGTGGTGGTTTTTGGTTGGGGGAGGGAGTTAAGTTTTTTAGGACAGACTTCACTTCTGTGGTATAAGCCCAAAAATGCTTTCTTCCCAGCCCTTGGCAAAGTGACCACATCCCTACCTGTCTGCAGATAGGATAGCAGATACTCTTTCTTTCTGCACTCAGAAAGTTTTCCATTGCTTTTCCTTTGCTTTTGTTATGAATGCAAACTATGGGGCTCAATAGCATCCCTCACTACTACAAATCTTTATATACCATAGTCTCCAACTGACCACTGTGAGCCAGATCAAAGTCAGTCATCTTCATCCTCTGGCTTCTGCACCCAGCTCCCTGGCCTGAGATCATAAATCCATTGATAACTTCCACCCCAGCTACAACAGAACAGTTTGTTAAGTGCAAGGGGATCAATAAATCAGACCTTAAGCCCAGTCCACTACTATTTCAAGTTAATTACAAAGGGATTGTTTTCCTTTAGCCCAGTACCTATACAAAATAATATTGTTTAGATGAACCAATTATTCAGGTTCAGTTCCCTCTTCACGTTACACAGGAGTTTGGCTGAACCAATTTTAACCAGAGCTCAAATTGATATGATCCCTCGATGTGGCAGGAGATGCCAGCCGTTCAGACGCCTGAGAAAAATCCCCTCCAAAATGGACGTAGTAGCAATATAAACATGTGTGGGTGCAAAGGGGATTTTCAAACGTTCTTCTACTGTGTTTATGAATCTCACAAAGCTGCTCTGTATCGGGAGTGGGGGAGAAGAAAGCATAAAAATATTAATCAGTTACTTATCTTCTGACATGTTCTGGATCAACATCTGGTGCATGTGCAAGTGATGAAGTATGGCATTTGGCACAAAAGCTTATTTAATCTTCTCTTCCCAAATTGGGCAGGGAAAATTAGCACTCTTAAAAATTAAGTTTCCAGATCCAATTTTTTTTCTTTAAAATAAATTGCCAACATTGTATAGGCTGTCTGTTCTATTTTGGAAAATGTTTTTCGTCTGAGAAAAGACTGATCTTAAGTAGATTATCTATGGGCTGTTTCCTACCGCTTTTTGTCTCCCCTGCAGTATCTTACTGCCAGGGTTTAGTAGACAAGTATAGTCTAGGTTCAGCTGTTTTATTTCTACTTCTATCAGTTCAAACTGAGATAGCTCACACATCTGTTTTATTTCTGAACACACTGCATAGGAAAAGTGTCCAGCTCATTCTAATCAAGCATAAACTTTCCTATAAATAACTAAGGACCTAACGAAACAATTGTTTGGAGGAAATGAAAGTGTGTTTAGAAACTCAAATTCCTCTATACTGTATGCCTGAGCTGTTCCAGTTTGAATGTCTTCCTGACAGCATGGATCAGTTGCTCTAAGATGCTGTCCCTGGAGTCAGCAAACTGAAACTATAGCAGGAAATCCAGGTATTAACATCATACTATGTGCTAATTATAAACCATCATTTCACATTCTGACATTATTCACTTCTAACCTCTTTTAACTAAATCACGTATTTGCTTTCTAATCACAGTTTGACAGGAGAGAGTGTCTGACACAAGACAGTGAAGTGATCTTTTAATAAGACAGCAGTTCAAAGATTGCAGCTTTTACGCATAGTAACGACCTTAGTTTGATTTGCTGCTCCACAAAGAAGTTGTACAGTTTCTGAAAAAAGAGGAAAAGTTTAAATCACTTTAAAAGCTTCAAGTTCCTGACTTGTGTTTCGGTTCCAGCTTCTTACTTGAAGTTAGATGTTAGCCATCTTAACCTGTTTTGAAAAATTTCTTTCCTATAGCTAAAGTCTCTGCAGGCATTATTAAATATTTTCCACCTTCTACCTTTTTATTTTAACTTCCCCTGAGTTTTGTCTGGTGATTAATACCAGGTGGAAGATCACGGCCTGTGCAAACATACACTTGAAATTGGACAGACATTTGAACTCATTTTGCAAACTTTGTTACTTTTTTTTCTCCTTAAAATCTGAATTGTTATATCACAGAATATGAAGGTATCCTACCATATCTCTCAGCTCATTCATGAGAGGAATTTTTTTAAAGCATTGTTATTTTTTTTAAACTAATTAAATATTAGCTGATAAGAAACTAACAGAGACTCCTTGAAAAAGCTCTCAACTCCACTCTTTCATGGTAAAAAGACTATTTTTATTTCTTTTTACAGTATCTGTAGTTTTTTCCCTGCTCCAACTAGATGAGAAAATGATTGAGGCAATACTCTTTCCCTTGCATGCTCACTAACATGAAGGACAGCATGAGTTACTGTTACTTCTTGAAATGTTTTAAATACCCATTGTGTATCCTGTTTTTCTGGCACCAGACAACTTTAGAGTTGCCAAGACTTGCCATTTATTTTATCTTAATAAAGAATCAATAAGCCAAATCTTGACTCCCGGCAGCTGATAATTTAGGATTACATTTTTAATTTCCAGCTGCTGTCTTTTGTCTGTCTGGTTGTTATTTTTCATTATTATTTGCTCTTTTCTTTCCGTGACAGCGAATCCTTCAGATATGATTACCAATTCAGCAATTTGCCTGTATGCTGAATAAGATCTTTTGCTGTTGATTACCACAACGACTAAATCGTACACAAAAATATCACTGGTCAAAAAGCCAAGTACTCCTCTACTGTACAAGATGCTCAGCAGACCTGCAGAAAGCCTGGCTAAAATAGACCAAAATGGTTCTTAAGGCTTAAGCAGGTTATATGAAATACTTTGATCACATAGGTAGGAGAGGCTTTGCGAATAACCGACTTTGCAGCCGAGAAGGCAGTTAGCAGAAGCGGGGAGGCTGGGAAAATACAAACCTGCACATCGTAAGTCCCATTTAATAGGACAGGCCTCTGGGAATTGATGTCCTGCAGCACTCCTGAAAGCACAGTGCGGTTGACTTTCTGGAAGTCTTTGGAGTGGCTGAATTGCACCATGTTGTGGAGAGCCAAAATTTTAGTGTCGAGCTCAGCATCCTGCCTGGTGCGGTTGTGCAGTCCTAGGTGGTACTTGCGGAAGTGTTTGATGAGATCTGTGGGGTCGTTCCCATAGTAACCGTATCCACAGATGTTGCATTTGAAGTCCTGAAGCTCTGGAGACAGAGGCGCCGTATCTGGGTTATCATTTACCAACAAATCTGCTTTAGATTTGTTCAGCCTTAAACCCCCATCTGAAGGCACTTGTGGGTTTTTTGAGGCCATGGGGACCGGGCTTGAGCCTTGGCCATCAGTTTGACCACTTTGCACTTGCGCTGTTTCATCTGAAGCTTTTGGCGACATCTGATGCTCCTCATTTGTCTCCGCTGCATCTCCTGACGGGGTACAGACCACATCTTGGGTGCCATCTGCATCTGATTTTTGAGGAGACTTCAAGGGCTCACAGATTCCCCCAACAGCTGGAGATGAGAAAGCCAGCATATTTCTGTCTGTCACCTCATCATGAGGGAAGGATGGAACATTTCCTCCCTTATTGTGGCTTTCATAATTGAAGCCAGCCTTTTCACTCAGCACTGAGCTTTTCAAGTCCTTTTTAATGCTGGAAGATGGCTCTTGGACATGCGTGCAAAGCTCCTCCTTGTTATTTAACTCTGCCGCATCACTCTGGTCAGTGTTTTCTTGCATCTGCTCTGAGGAAAATTCTTTTTTCCTTCCAGACTCTTCACTTTCAGTACCTGTAGACTCAAGGGTCTGTACCTCACCTTCACTAGCAACGTTTCTTAGAGGGGGGTTCTTTTTCCGGACCATATCTACCACAGAAAAAGAAAGAAAGAAAAAAAAAAAAGAAAGAAAAAAAAAAAAAGAAAGAAAAAAAAAAAAAGAAAGAAAAAAAAAAAAAGAAAGAAAAAAAAAAAAAGAAAGAAAAAAAAAAAAAGAAAGAAAAAAAAAAAAAGAAAGAAAAAAAAAAAAAGAAAGAAAAAAAAAAAAAGAAAGAAAAAAAAAAAAAGAAAGAAAAAAAAAAAAAGAAAGAAAAAAAAAAAAAGAAAGAAAAAAAAAAAAAGAAAGAAAAAAAAAAAAAGAAAGAAAAAAAAAAAAAGAAAGAAAAAAAAAAAAAGAAAGAAAAAAAAAAAAAGAAAGAAAAAAAAAAAAAGAAAGAAAAAAAAAAAAAGAAAGAAAAAAAAAAAAAGAAAGAAAAAAAAAAAAAGAAAGAAAAAAAAAAAAAGAAAGAAAAAAAAAAAAAGAAAGAAAAAAAAAAAAAGAAAGAAAAAAAAAAAAAGAAAGAAAAAAAAAAAAAGAAAGAAAAAAGCAAAAAACCCTATAGAATTATTCAAGATATAAAACAGATTATAAACCTGGCACTTTTTAAAGCATTCTGAACTATATGAATACATCAACTTTTCAGAAAGTTTTTCTCAAACAGGTTTTTAAACTGCAGTAAACTGGAATTTTACATTTTTAAAAAAGGATCACACTGAAACTGAACTTAAAGCCTACAAAAGCATTGCCATCAGAGTGAGTGAATCTGAAGGTTCACTGTCTTTTTGGAAGATAACAGTCTGGCAGAAATAATTTTAAATTAATGCTTCTTTTAAAATAATTTGAAAAACTAGGGGGAAAAATAAAGTTTTTTAAGTCTAACGTTCAAACACTGTACAACTACATATAATGTAGCTTTGCAAAAGTACACCTAAAAGACAATCAGGAGCACTTGAAAAAGTTATTAGGAAGGAAAGAGATTTAGAAAAGTAAGTAACTTTGAGGTTTCAGAGAAAGTATTTTTCCTAAGCAAGTATCAGTTTCTCTGTGGCAAAAGCTTCTCTTCCTACTGCCTATAAACTTCAAACAGGATTATATGGATATTCTAGAGTCTGGCCCCACAGTTCACTATTCATGTAATTAGTTCTATTTGCCAAACAAAGAGAAACTAACTTTATTAGGAAACCTATTGTCAATAAAATCTTACAGGCCAGGATCCAGCCATTTGACATTGCTGTGTGGCTGAGTAGGGATCTACCCTGAAAACACCTGGAATCCACATGGATCTAAACATCCGAGCCTTCCTGTGCTCACTCCTCCTTGCAGACACAGCCACTATTGTTAAATCTGCAAGTACACTTTCAGGATCCGTTTAAGAAAGCTCAGAGAGGGCAGCAATAAGGATCAGAGAGAAAGGAGGAGTCTGCCCCTGGTGAGTTAGCTGCTAGCTGAACAGGGGAAATTATGGAAGAACAAATAATCAGACCATGCAGGTAGAAAGCCAAAATCCTTATCCACTACGTATCTTCACCTTCCCCAGCCTACTTAGGGAAAAAATCTGTATGTGAAACTTCCCTGTACTTTCCACTGCGTGGTTCTGGATTTGATATTCATCACCAGCTGGTTTGATCCATTTGTGTTCACATGCTAGCTATGGGCAGAAGACAGATGTGCTACAACTTTTTCTATGCTCTTATCTTTGCCAACGCTGTATACAATGATGAATGTTTCTCTTTGCCAAATTGCGTGTGGTCCGGTGGCAGCAGCCGGCAGTACCACACACGAGATGCGAGCTCCAGACTCAACCCTAAGCCCCCATTCCCAGGCCAGCCATAGCCTACGGAGGCACAGGAGATATATATTGCTCTGCAAAGGGAGGACCACCTGGCGATTCTGGGAGCAGCACTGATGCACTCCAAATGGTGCTGCATCCAGACCTTTAAAAGCCGCGGATGACCTTCTCAAAACAGTACTTTGAGAAGTACGGCTGGGACGGAGGTTAAAAATAAAAGAACAGGCGTCTGTACATCCTCTTATTTACATCTGCTCCACATGAAAGGGCACTGTATGCTATGTTGATAAAAACAGACAACTTCTTAGGGGAAGTGTTCAACTTGTGTCTTGGGCTGGCTCTGTTGTCTTTGTGGTCGAGTTGATCCACAGGCAGCATGGACTACAGTGAGACAGCTTTCACACAGGATACCAGCTCGTGTTACAGAAATTTTGACACTCCGTGTGGTCTTAATAGGTTTCTTAAATGCCTACTGTGATTCCTTACTGTAGAAGACACACATGCTTGGGAACCAAGTGTCTTCTCTTTAATGTCAACCACACCTACCAGGATATGCATGCACTGAATTCTACTGCGTTTTTTTTTTTCACCCTGATAACTTCTGAACCATGAAGTCACTCAGAACCAAGAGAAAAGAAAGATTTCCTGTTGTGGTAAGAGAACTATTACAGTACAGACTCAGTCTACTAAAACAACATGCGCACGTATATAATTCAAGGTATAAACATAGCCCTTAGCCTTCTAGCATTACTGCTTCTCTGTGGGACTTCATGAATGCTCTTGGTTAACACATACTAAAAATATTTGTGAGCATCCCTGGTAGGTGTTCAGCTAAGTCTATACTCTCCTGGTTACACATTCCAACCCATTTTTAAAATAACTTCTGTTTAAAAGCAATTCATGGCAGTTAGAGGACAGAGAAAGGAGCCCTGACTACGCAGTGAAGAAAAATCAGAAATTGAGAAAGTAAACATCATGACTGTTACCTCAGTCAAAATTAAACAAGACTAAATGCAATGTTTTAAAATGTTTTTGTTACAGATATTTTTGGCAGATACGGCAAGTTTAGAGAGTTTTGCTATCTTCATGGCAACTGACAGAAGAAAGTCAGAGAAAAGGACAGAAAAAAAAATCCCTATAAAGCAAAGAAAAGAAAAACTTGGACTGTACACAGGCTAACTAGACACTATTCCAGATCTAGATACTTGGGTTCAAATTTTCCTACATATCTGTGAGCCCATGTGTTAATGGGGGGGGAAGAGGGGGGGAAACAAATGTATCTGCCTAATGGATCTTTTTATGCAGTATTCTACACTTAGAGAAAGAAAGGAAAGACAATAACATTGATTTAAATATAAAAACTTTCTAAAGTTGAATTTAAAAGTATTTTCTCCTCTTTTTTCTTTTAGCTTTTGAAAAATCATCTGTCATTTATTTGCTTGCTATCCACTCAAGGGGACGGTAAGAAAAGACACAGTATTTTTTTGTCACTGAAATTCCACCGCTATCATTTTTCAGAGACATATTATGTAAATAAAACTACATTTGCAATACTCCTAAATCGAAGAAACCATCCCCTAGCAAGTCATAAGTTAGATATAGAAAGAATATAGCCACTCTGAAATTATTATCTCTAAGACAAATAACAGATTGCACAATGTTTTATTGTGTGCCAAGAACGTTTTCAGTTAACAATTTCACTTGAAAAAATGGATCACATACTTGTAAAATCATACCCAGCATTGACTTCATAAGGCATGTGGCTTTAGAGTGCTTTTTACAATTATTAATTCTATTAGTCAACTAGCAGGCGGGCTAATGCAATTGTCTTAGAAGATGCACGGAAGACACAGAAGACATTTTGAGAGCTGATCTGTATATCTGCAAAACAAAACAAAAAAAGGTTTTCCTTCCTAAATTATGCATTCAAAATACGGTTTTTACTTAAAAACATTTTCATGCCTATTGTACATTCACATGCATATATTAGTGAGCACTATACAAATAGTGGATGCTGTTCTCTACTTCCATCAAGCATGAAAAATCCCAAAGCTGCCTTCTCCTTGGACAGACACAGACGCTCCTGCACACACACGCGCACAAACACACACACAGAAAGAGAGACAAAAATTATCTCAGAGGTGATGTTCATCAAAAAACAAGGTTAAACTAAGTGTTGAAAATGAGCTGGATAAATGCTGTAAAAAATAGAAGTGCCCTAAAAATCACATATATAAACAGATATTGTGCATCATCATGGGACTGGCCTAATAGGATGGATTAAGAAATACAAATAACTGGTTCGTATCCAGGCTCTGCCATCAGCAATTGAAAGTTATCATCTCCTGGCTGCCTCGTGTCCCACTTGAAACAAATTTAGTGGTGTTACCTTAAGTGGGCAACTATCCACATCTCAAAAATGCCATCACAATAATAAGCACATTTGCTCGCTATTAGTGAAGAGGGCAAGTGATGAACAGCCATTGGGACTGAACTACCTTTTCATCACTGGAAATGGTGATCTTCCTAAAATAAAAGAATTACTAAATCTGATGAGAATGAAGATGCTTCTCGAGCTGAGGGATCCCCGGATAAGGTCCAGGAGGCAGAATTCATCTTTGGGCTCCCATAATCCAGGGTTCAGTGTCTTATTTTCATTACGCTGAAATTACCTTTAAACCATGTAGGGTTTTTTTCACCTGATATGATCACCCTCATCTATTTTAAAGAGGAAATAATAGTAATAGCTATATACAGTTTCCCTCGACGCCAGCCAAGGCTACTGTACACAATTCATGCATCTGTAAGATACTGACTTTTCTGTTCAACAATCCCTCACATCAGTTTATCCCTGGAAGCAAAAAGTAGAAACTTCTGCTAAAATCAGTTTGTAATTGAGGATAATGAATTACCCTCATGACTACTGTACCTCTTTTAAAGAAAGAAAAAGCAAAAGCAACTTCTGATAATCAATAGTTTCTTATGCGTGGTGAAGGTAATGGCTAATTACCTGCTGATCATCAGCTCCCTAAATGGGTCATTGTTGCTGCTCATTACTTTTATTGAACGTGATGACTTGTCATCAAAGCCTATTGCAACAGTATGGTTGCTGCCTTGTGCTTGCACTGCAGGTTTAGGTCAGGTCTTAGTCATATGCTCTTTTTAACAGAATAATACATTTAGAAAGATGTCTGAATTTTGTGAGATGCCACTGACTAATCTTTGTACAAGCAGACGAAGAGCAAACTGAGTCAAGGGTCTATGAAGTCTGTGATGTTATCAGTCAATATGCTGCAGCAACAAAAAGTTAAATGAAAATACGCATTTATATTCAACAGGCTCGAGTAGGACCTCTTTGTTAAGGGATAGTAAAATTAATACTTTTACACTCATATATATTACACACCCACACACAGACATATAATGCACATACGGCGCTTAAACATCAATCATTTTGCCAGAATAATGCAGCAAAAAATCATTAACTCTCAGTGTCTCAGCTTAATATATGTCTAATACTTACCTATCTCACAGGAGCGTTGTGAGGCTTAATTAATTAGTGACTGTAAAGCACTTTGTGATCCTCTAATGAAAGGTGCTACATAGCACAAAGTATTATTAAAATCATTAGGACCACATAAAAGCCCTGTGGAATTCCAGCCTACACTGTCTGTTGGGGTTGGGAGTGATCTTATTATTAAAAGGAGACCGTCAGACTAATTTTCATAATTTTTTCAAGATCTTTTTTCCCCCTTTGCTGTTGTGATAGCACGTTAGTAGCAAGAAATTTAATCTTATCATCTTAATAACATACACTCATGTAGTTTGTTACTGCAGGGCTAGAGAAGAGAACAGGGCTTTTGGCACTCATCTGGCTTTCCCTTTTAAGAAAAAAAAAAAAATAAAATTGAGAGACATATTTTGACACCTTCCCACACCCCACCCCACCAGGACAGCCGATCATGTGAGATCGCAGGATACTCACTACAGCCGCATGGGAAAATACTGCTGTGGTTTTAATTTCTCTCTCTCTTTTTTTTTTTTTTCCCCAGAGAATGAACCTTTTTCTTTTAGATCTTTTGTCCCTTTGCGTTTTTTTTCTCACTGTTTTTTTTCTTCTTC